GTAGTCTATCGTTTTGCTTAATACTGATCAAGGCTCCATATGGATATTAGTTCCGTATGGTATTTTGTAAACCACAGGGGTAGGAACTTTTAGGCAAATGGATTTTAAAATAACATTTGAAAGTTTCAATACATCGATCGATTAATCTTCTTTTTGTTTGTTTAATAAAATAGCATTACAATCACGTCAAATATGATGATATTTTTGAGTCCACTGTTTGGTTGATAAATCTGGTAATAATCAACGTTATTTAATGTCAGAATGGCTGTGAGCCGCTGAACTCGGATAATGATTTATGAAAGGCTGAGAATGGAGTTTTTGCACCGCTATTCCAGCTCCAAGGGTATTTCACAATTTGAGGTTTATGAATTAAAAAGAGTAGGAAATCTGACATCTACGTATTTAAAAGTGCCTTTAATTGTAATACTTTGAACAGACGCACCTTAAATAACTCTACTGGTAATGCTTGCCTCGTGTTCTCAAATGCCCGTCGTGGTTTATCACAGTGTAATACACGGCTTAGGCTTCATTTGTTAATATATTGTCTCCTTCTCCTGCTTTGCCTTTTGAAGCCTCTGTAAAAATAGTCTGCTTCGTATCGGCCTGTAACGGTCACCTCCTCGACTAGACACTTGCTTTGTGCCGATCGTACAGGTTAGCTGAGTAGCCATCGCCTTCCTTGTTCCTATCCCCGTCTCTTGGATCTTCTCGAATGAGGTCTTCTCCGAGGCCTTTCGCCCTTATTAGTTGACTTCTCTTGTCGCTTCGTCTTGTCTTTGTTTCATTGTCCTTGCTGTTGCCAATTTAAAATGCCTTATACCCTACTTCCAGCTGCACGTTGTCTCGAGCATCAGCATGAGCTGCATGAGGAACATGTTCATACGGTCTCTTTTCACCCAGTTGGCATGAATGAGTTTCCAGTTGACCATTTTTCGAAGTACTTAGTCTTAAATATATAATCTTTAATTCATCATCTTTAATTGGTATACTTCTAAACAGTAAATTCTATACTACCAGTTTAAAAATAAATAACTCAAAAAGTAAGATGTTATAAGTAACGGTACAAATGGTCGAAATATATGGTTTCTTCTTTTGTGCCACCATTCGACCGACCTGGGAAAATATTTTCGATCGTTGTCCTCTTCAAGGAAATTCTCTTTTTGTCCTTGGCCTTGTTGTATGAAACCGGGCCTTCAGCATCTAAAAGACGATTGCACAGTTCTTCAAGACGTCTTTAGCTTCTGTCTTCTTTTCTTAACTTTCGAGACCGCCGGTTCCGGCCATCTGTCAGGTGAAATGAAATTCGCAAGTCTTGACTCCAAAAATTGACTGTCGCAAACCCTCCAGATTTGACCCCGCCATTTCGGTAACCCACCCACGAGGATTAAAGAAATACTTCTCATTTTCATTTTCTTTCCTTAGAACTTCGTTAAAGTTGTTCGAAAAAGGCTCGATGGGCAGAGCAAGAGTCTTCATTTTCACATTCCATTGTGGCGAAAGGTATACGTCTTCCGAGTAGAGGATGATAGCCTAGCAGCCAGTGAAACCAAACCTTTGCACATTTTTACCTTCTCGTCGACAAAACCAAATTCTTGACTCAAGACATGGTCTTCAGTTCTGTCCATGCTAGGTGCGAATTTTACTTTAAACTTACTCGTCTTAAAAACAAATGACGGCTTATCAGGATTACCACGCCGGTCATTTAATTTATAACATAACATGGGTCACGAGGGTCGGCCAGAGCAATAGGTGTTTCAAAAATATTATTGAAGATAGGTCTACAATTATCATCCTTTATCGGTCTATTAAAACGTTTATTTCAGGTTATCTGCTTATGATTATTTTTTGCGTGACCCGTGCCGCTTACCCGCGACCCGCGCGGCTCTACCCGGCGACCCGCACTGTATATCCGCGACTCACGCTGTTTACCCGCGACCCGTGCAGATTAGACACTCCGTCACCAAATGGGCATAACTTGTAACTATTTCAAACAGGCCAAAATCGGGAAATTGGCCTGACAGGGTACCTCCTCCCCTAGAAAGATGGAAACAAGAGAAATAAATAACGCGAGACGGTCTGATGTGATCCCGCGCAAGTTCCCGCGTAAAACCGTCTTTCCCGCGAAAAGTTTTCGTGACGTCACTTGTTTTCCCGTGACGCGAAAGACACTGGTAACGAAAGAGAATCCAAACATGGCGACCGGAGATCGCAGTTTTGAGAGGATTATAAACTCATTTTGGTGCCAGCACCACGATTAATATGGCCTCTATGGCATCAGTTTCCGTTTGAAGCATATTATCGTCGTTTGGCTGGATTTGGGTGCAAGGAAAATGGCTGTGACGGCTTACAGAACACTGAAATGAAGACCATCTTTGTGCTGCTTACTGACAACAACACGGCAAATTAAATTATTCCACAAAACTGTAAACTACAGGTAAGCTTAAAATCAAAAGCTGCTGTTTACGAAATTTAGTTTATCTACTGGTGTTTTTCCGTTGCTATTGCCCAAGTAAGCATTGAAGTTCCAGGTTGAATTTTATTGTGTCGAGCGTTTATAATTTATACAGCGGTAAATTCAAATTCTCAGTACATCTCGCACGTGCCCGCCGTTGTTTTGAGCAAAAAATATCCGAGACTGGCCTTTGTTTGAGGTTCTAAGCTTAAAAAACGAAATCCCAACCTCTTAAAAATCCTCTCAGACAATACTAAAGGTGCTAGAAGTGTTGTGGCTGCACGAAAACATAAAGATATCAAAGATGGACGCCACGTTTTTATTACGCCCCCCAAGGCATGCTGGGACCAACTATAACAATGCATGATGTACCAAGCTATGATAATGCATGATGTAACATCCCCGTTTTGTAAAAAAAAAAAATAATAATAATAATAAATAAAATAAATAAATGAAATACAATATAAACACAACAGCAAAAAGCATTAATGGGGTTATAACAGGTTTGTCCCAACTGATCCAACTTAAGGCAATGTTCAACTAGAATGTTTTATAGAATGTTCAAGTTCAATCAATGTCTCCAACTCCACACAAGGGAGTCCAGTAAGTCTCTTACAGATCCAGACNCCTTCTCAGTTGATACGAGTTTAAAGTTACCTTGAAACGCTTTACGGTAGAAGTAGAACAACCGCACCACTAAGTATGAAGCTTGGAACGAAGTTATCGATAGATATCTCTGTGCTCAGGATTTCCAGGCTTCTGCGGACCCATTTCGTTTTCTCTATACTAAATTCCAAACAGAGATCTTAACTAAAGCCGGTGGTTTACGAGACTGAACTCTCATATAAGCGAACACCATGAAACAATCTTTTGGAAGCTGGTAGCTCAGCAGAGGGTTAAGGCTTAAGCTTTCTTCATCAGTCTCAGGGTGGAACCCTTTCACCAGCCATAAATGATTTTAACTTTTAATCTGCGACCTTATTACATGAATTTTCGCGACACGTTAATTTTGCGAATTTCGCGATTAAAAAAAAATCGCGAAATTAAAGCCGTATGCGAACATAACATGACGCGAAAATTAAGTGACTCACATTATGTTACTGTTGACATGGATAGTCCCGCCGTTGCGTTTTTGTTAATTTTGACGTTATTGTACCGGCCTTTGATAAAGACAGTTTACTAAGTTCAAGGACATGTCAAAGTAACATTGCGAAGGAAATAAATTGTGTGTTACTCAAAAACGCGAAGTTGAAGTGATTCAAGATACAAGATTTTCGCAAAATCGCGGAATTTAAGTGTCGCGAAATATGCGCACCTGAAAATCGCGAAATAAATGTGTCGAGAAAATTTCATGTAATAAGGTATTTGGCAATGTTATACCGCGATAAATTTAATCAAGCTTAGCAGATTACAATTTTATTCAAGTGTTGAAAATACGAATTACAATCGTTGAGTGCTCGCTTACGAGAGTGAGGACAGTCTCGGCTCCGCATTTAGTTGACTTTTCGTTATGACTGCAGATCTCGTTATTTCCCTGTTGCTCATTGCTTGCTTTGAATGTATTCTTCATACATGTTTTTTTAGGACTTTGAAAGCAGTGAAGGATTGCTCAGAATGCTACAAGCGCCGTTTTTAAGCCTTTTTGGATTTGTAACTAAAGTATTAGGAAACAATAGAATTTGTGTCGGACAATACAAAGGTATTCGTGTTCAAGTTTGCGCTTTTCCAGTTTGTGCTCGAAAATTTAAAAGAAATCCAAAAGAGTATTTCTCAGTGCAAACCTCTGTTTACGTGTACGTGCAATTAGAAATCTTTCGTGTATGTTTTCCTATTGTGGTGAGCGGAGGTCAAAATGAGGGTGAGCTCCAACATAACATGCTGGCAAGGAAGATGGAATCATCGAGACAATTAGCGTTTGAGGTCGTCGTGACTTACTAAATTAAATTAAGTTATCCACCGAGACCAACAACAATATCATAATACTCTTCCATCTCGACTGAAAGTAGCACTAAGCTGAGACAAACAACAACGCTCTTCCATCTCGACTGAAAGTAGCACAAAGTTGCCAAGCTGTACCAGAAGTAGAACTTTCACACGGAAGTTAATTTCCCAGGCTATAAAATGAGCGCAATTTCTAACGATTTCAAACCCAGAAAGTTTTCAATCGTGAACAGTGATCAAGGCCGATCAAGACTTGAAAATGTTTGGATTTGTTATCCCCTTTGTCTCCGTGATGTGCCTGCTTGTGCTCCTAACAGGACCAAGTTCTGCTTCGCATGGCTGGGAACCACCAGTACCAGTTATCCCAACTTATCCTAGCGATCCACAGGATCCTTATTATCAGGGTAAGATTTTTGACAAAGATTAGTCATTTGATTGTTCTTAGCTGGCTGTAGCAAAAGTTACCTCATTTAGTTTTCTTTAAGAACTTATGCCACTCGTCAGCAACACATCGCTTAATGTCATTAATTAAATCGTATATATATCTTGATTCAAACATAAAACCTTTGATTTAACTAAGTTTTATAGAATTTGTTAAGGCCGCAAGGAGAATCAAATGATTTATTGCTTAGAAACTTAAATTCAACATACAAATTGTTTATTCCATGCTATATCCGGCTACCAGGTAATGTACATACAAAAGAGTTCAAAAGAGTTCACACACAAAAGAGGTTAGTTATATGCTCAGCGCAAAGGTTTACTTCTGCTGTTAGCGAAGGGCTCTTTCCACCTTCCAATTTGTTTTACGCCTGCATTCATATCGCTCAGCGGATTACTTCCCACCCGAGAAAACCCCTTGGAGCATCTGCGGAGGAGAGAGCGCGAAAGATGACGATCACCTTTAGTTTAGTTTGTTGTAATTTACTATCATTTTTACCGTATTATAAATATATTTACACAATATCAATCCTTCAGGCAAGGAAGCCCAGGGAAACAAAGAAGGCTTGTGTGAGGGACTCGAGGACTACTTAGACTTAACAATAATAAAAATGCTTTCCTCTGCAGAACAATGAACACAAAATGATCATAATTTAGGATAAAACTGATTTCCTGGTCATTTTCATGTCAGAAAATAATTCTTCCTTCTTTTAATTGCAGCTTTTCAAACTGTTCCCTCCCTCAATGTGACCGCAAATAAGCTCATGACCAACTTTCTGGGCTATGATCTGCAGACAGCTGGTATTACCAAACGACAAACGTTCATTGTTGATACCGTAATAGTTTTGGATGGGTCTGGGTCGGTTCCTCCTTGCGACTTCTCGAAAGCAAAAGAAGCGCTTAAACACTTAATGGATACACTGAACAAGCCCGGGTACGACTCAAAGTACGCGGCGGTTACCTTTGAAACCACAGCAACCGTCAACTTCAAGTTTTTACCATACTCATCAGCAGCGAGCGAAATAACGAAGATATCGTAACCAGGAGGCTCCACTAACACCCAAGCCGGACTGGCAGAAGCAAAGAAACTGTTTGATGACCTTAACTCAGGTACTCTACCGAAAATGTTTCTTATTTTACTTCCGCATTAAGTTTACTTTGGTTTGTGCAAGCTGGAGAGAATTCTCTGAAGATGCATTGATCTAGTTATTCGGGTAAGAAGATAAATTCCGTAATTAAGTATGAATTTGTCATTAATAGTTTAAGAGAGAAAAAAAATTGGATTAACAAGATTGTTTAACAGTACGTATTGCAAAGCAAATTCGGCTGTCTTCTATTTGCGTTACTTTTTCCGGAACTGATTCTTATTTAAATAAAAAGAAAATATTTGTTCTGTTTTGCATACTTTTCATAACACTGGTCACATGTGTAGTAAATGCTTTTTACTTTATTTTGCTTGTTAAAGGTCGCCGTCCCTTACCAAATAGAAAAAGAGTCTTCCTTGTCACTGATGGCAGATCAAACGTCCGTCCAGACTTGACCATACCGAATGCCAAAGCACTGAAAGCGAGTGGTGTGAAAATCTTTGTGGTTGCTGTTGGAAATGCTATTTCCGGAATAGACGAGATGGTGAAGGTTGCCTCCAATCCCTTAACAGATCTGTTGAGATTAGATAATTATCAGCAATTATGGCGTCTTATCCAGTTGGCTGTGAAAATGGTTTCTCCGGGTAAAAACAACCTTGTCGACTACGAACCTTCTTGCAGCTAGAGCAAAAGTACCTCGAGTTTATAACAGTTCAGAGATCTGAACATTTTTGTTTTATTTGCTGGGCTTAGAAGGTGAGAACAATAGGAGCTGCACCTTAAGTTTATAGTCTGTGTAGAAACTTATCAGTGGATTGTAGCTGCATGCAAACACTTTTAGGTTGAGCACGGTAGTCTATCGTTTTGCTTAATACTGATCAAGGCTCCATATGGATATTAGTTCCGTATGGTATTTTGTAAACCACAGGGGTAGGAACTTTTAGGCAAATGGATTTTAAAATAACATTTGAAAGTTTCAATACATCGATCGATTAATCTTCTTTTTGTTTGTTTAATAAAATAGCATTACAATCACGTCAAATATGATGATATTTTTGAGTCCACTGTTTGGTTGATAAATCTGGTAATAATCAACGTTATTTAATGTCAGAATGGCTGTGAGCCGCTGAACTCGGATAATGATTTATGAAAGGCTGAGAATGGAGTTTTTGCACCGCTATTCCAGCTCCAAGGGTATTTCACAATTTGAGGTTTATGAATTAAAAAGAGTAGGAAATCTGACATCTACGTATTTAAAAGTGCCTTTAATTGTAATACTTTGAACAGACGCACCTTAAATAACTCTACTGGTAATGCTTGCCTCGTGTTCTCAAATGCCCGTCGTGGTTTATCACAGTGTAATACACGGCTTAGGCTTCATTTGTTAATATATTGTCTCCTTCTCCTGCTTTGCCTTTTGAAGCCTCTGTAAAAATAGTCTGCTTCGTATCGGCCTGTAACGGTCACCTCCTCGACTAGACACTTGCTTTGTGCCGATCGTACAGGTTAGCTGAGTAGCCATCGCCTTCCTTGTTCCTATCCCCGTCTCTTGGATCTTCTCGAATGAGGTCTTCTCCGAGGCCTTTCGCCCTTATTAGTTGACTTCTCTTGTCGCTTCGTCTTGTCTTTGTTTCATTGTCCTTGCTGTTGCCAATTTAAAATGCCTTATACCCTACTTCCAGCTGCACGTTGTCTCGAGCATCAGCATGAGCTGCATGAGGAACATGTTCATACGGTCTCTTTTCACCCAGTTGGCATGAATGAGTTTCCAGTTGACCATTTTTCGAAGTACTTAGTCTTAAATATATAATCTTTAATTCATCATCTTTAATTGGTATACTTCTAAACAGTAAATTCTATACTACCAGTTTAAAAATAAATAACTCAAAAAGTAAGATGTTATAAGTAACGGTACAAATGGTCGAAATATATGGTTTCTTCTTTTGTGCCACCATTCGACCGACCTGGGAAAATATTTTCGATCGTTGTCCTCTTCAAGGAAATTCTCTTTTTGTCCTTGGCCTTGTTGTATGAAACCGGGCCTTCAGCATCTAAAAGACGATTGCACAGTTCTTCAAGACGTCTTTAGCTTCTGTCTTCTTTTCTTAACTTTCGAGACCGCCGGTTCCGGCCATCTGTCAGGTGAAATGAAATTCGCAAGTCTTGACTCCAAAAATTGACTGTCGCAAACCCTCCAGATTTGACCCCGCCATTTCGGTAACCCACCCACGAGGATTAAAGAAATACTTCTCATTTTCATTTTCTTTCCTTAGAACTTCGTTAAAGTTGTTCGAAAAAGGCTCGATGGGCAGAGCAAGAGTCTTCATTTTCACATTCCATTGTGGCGAAAGGTATACGTCTTCCGAGTAGAGGATGATAGCCTAGCAGCCAGTGAAACCAAACCTTTGCACATTTTTACCTTCTCGTCGACAAAACCAAATTCTTGACTCAAGACATGGTCTTCAGTTCTGTCCATGCTAGGTGCGAATTTTACTTTAAACTTACTCGTCTTAAAAACAAATGACGGCTTATCAGGATTACCACGCCGGTCATTTAATTTATAACATAACATGGGTCACGAGGGTCGGCCAGAGCAACAGGTGTTTCAAAAATATTATTGAAGATAGGTCTACCAATTATCATCCTTTATTGGTCTATTAAAACGTTTATTTCAGGTTATCTGCTTATGATTATTTTTTGCGTGATCCGTGCCGCTTACCCTCGACCCGCGCGGCTTTACCCGGCGACCCGCACTGTATTATCCGCGACTCACGCTGTTTACCCGCGACCCGTGCAGATTAGACACTCCGTCACCAAATGGACATAACTTGTAACTATTTCAAACAGGCCAAAATCGGGAAATTGGCCTGACAGGGTACCTCCTCCCCTAGAAAGATGGAAACAAGAGAAATAAATAACGCGAGACGGTCTGATNCATTGTGGCGAAAGGTATACGTCTTCCGAGTAGAGGATGATAGCCTAGCAGCCAGTGAAACCAAACCTTTGCACATTTTTACCTTCTCGTCGACAAAACCAAATTCTTGACTCAAGACATGGTCTTCAGTTCTGTCCATGCTAGGTGCGAATTTTACTTTAAACTTACTCGTCTTAAAAACAAATGACGGCTTATCAGGATTACCACGCCGGTCATTTAATTTATAACATAACATGGGTCACGAGGGTCGGCCAGAGCAATAGGTGTTTCAAAAATATTATTGAAGATAGGTCTACAATTATCATCCTTTATCGGTCTATTAAAACGTTTATTTCAGGTTATCTGCTTATGATTATTTTTTGCGTGACCCGTGCCGCTTACCCGCGACCCGCGCGGCTCTACCCGGCGACCCGCACTGTATATCCGCGACTCACGCTGTTTACCCGCGACCCGTGCAGATTAGACACTCCGTCACCAAATGGGCATAACTTGTAACTATTTCAAACAGGCCAAAATCGGGAAATTGGCCTGACAGGGTACCTCCTCCCCTAGAAAGATGGAAACAAGAGAAATAAATAACGCGAGACGGTCTGATGTGATCCCGCGCAAGTTCCCGCGTAAAACCGTCTTTCCCGCGAAAAGTTTTCGTGACGTCACTTGTTTTCCCGTGACGCGAAAGACACTGGTAACGAAAGAGAATCCAAACATGGCGACCGGAGATCGCAGTTTTGAGAGGATTATAAACTCATTTTGGTGCCAGCACCACGATTAATATGGCCTCTATGGCATCAGTTTCCGTTTGAAGCATATTATCGTCGTTTGGCTGGATTTGGGTGCAAGGAAAATGGCTGTGACGGCTTACAGAACACTGAAATGAAGACCATCTTTGTGCTGCTTACTGACAACAACACGGCAAATTAAATTATTCCACAAAACTGTAAACTACAGGTAAGCTTAAAATCAAAAGCTGCTGTTTACGAAATTTAGTTTATCTACTGGTGTTTTTCCGTTGCTATTGCCCAAGTAAGCATTGAAGTTCCAGGTTGAATTTTATTGTGTCGAGCGTTTATAATTTATACAGCGGTAAATTCAAATTCTCAGTACATCTCGCACGTGCCCGCCGTTGTTTTGAGCAAAAAATATCCGAGACTGGCCTTTGTTTGAGGTTCTAAGCTTAAAAAACGAAATCCCAACCTCTTAAAAATCCTCTCAGACAATACTAAAGGTGCTAGAAGTGTTGTGGCTGCACGAAAACATAAAGATATCAAAGATGGACGCCACGTTTTTATTACGCCCCCCAAGGCATGCTGGGACCAACTATAACAATGCATGATGTACCAAGCTATGACAATGCATGATGTAACATCCCCGTTTTGTAAAAAAAAAAAATAATAATAATAATAAATAAAATAAATAAATGAAATACAATATAAACACAACAGCAAAAAGCATTAATGGGGTTATAACAGGTTTGTCCCAACTGATCCAACTTAAGGCAATGTTCAACTAGAATGTTTTATAGAATGTTCAAGTTCAATCAATGTCTCCAACTCCACACAAGGGAGTCCAGTAAGTCTCTTACAGATCCAGAC